ATTTTTTTTTGCAAACAAAAGCGGGGTCATAAAGGATGGCCAAAGTCACTAAGGCGTTTTTGACCTTGTTTACGACCCTGGCGTTTATGACCCCGGCATTTATGACCCCGTTTTAGTTTGCAAAACAAAATCAAAACCCAGCCTAAGTCACCCCAGTTGACGGTAATTAATGTTTATGGCAATATCATCAATAAAAGAAAAACAAGTAAAATCACTGAAAATGCCATTTATTCTACCTCTACATCATCTACAATGAAAGAGGAGGACTTCAGAGTACAGTTAGTAATGTATGAGTACACTCTGCATGCTTCAAATATGTTAAAATGAAGTTTTATTGAAAGTGTCCCGAGTAGCCCTGTTCAACGGGCTACTCGGGACACTCTTTTTTTTTTGCTTCTGGCACCTTAGGAATAGCATATGGAATTTTTTTTGACGATGCCATTCGATAGCCCTCGCAAAGAGCTATAAAATGAGCCTAAACTTGTTTATGAAATGTTTCATCCTAAGAAGTTATTAACAAAAAAAAACGCTCAAAACTGTCCCGAGTAGCCCCGGTTGACGGTACAATCTAAATGTGTTGGCAAGATCTTCTGAGGGCGCAAATTTTGCTACTGAAGCGTCGCCAAAGATCTTGCAATATTCATCCACTCTCTGCACAGTAGAAAGTATCCTGGATACCAGCCGTATCATACATAAGAAATTGGTTTAAATCTTAGATAAATGAGGAAATTAAAAATGAACTGATTCTAAAAAATTTCTGGTTTGTCACTATGAGCCTGCTGGAGCCACACTGCCACAGAGCCAGTACAGCATGAATAGGTTAGGCCAAATGGCCCAGATCAGAAGAGGTTAGGCCAGACAGCCAGAGTAGCTAGGCAGGCTGGAATTCTAAAATTCATGGTTCATATAAAAAAAGCGTTCTGCCTTAAAAAAACGTTCCAGGCAATAGAAACAGGTTTGTAGGCCGTCAGAAATCGGCTTCGGTTGCAGTAACTATGATCGTATGAACGTCAAGTCAGGCAACACAGAGAAGGTCCAATGCAAGATTGTTAATTGCGCGCTTCACTCACAGATGAGCAAGAGGGATGAATCTACAGAAGGAAATACTATTTACCCCCTCAACATAATAGTTTCAAATTAAATATAAAAAAACATGAATGGCACCTATTCATTACCTCAGCTTTCAAATTGAGGAGAAACTCCTCGGCAGTTGGAGAAACTTCTCGAAGAAAAGGCAATGCACAACAAACAACATGACACTTCACAGTTGACTGACTAGAATAGACTCAATAGTCAAAAGAGTACTCGAAAGTAAAAAATTTAGCATTCAAACCTTTAGATTCTGTGAACCTTGTGATTTCTTCATTATTAAAACTTTAGAAGGCTCACAATATATCATGTAAAGATTTCACTCAATTATCGTCTCGAAGTTTGGGAGCTTTATCTGCAGTAATGTTCTGTAGTTACCTCACCCACCAATTGCGTAATGATAACTAACCACTAACCATCATTAGATTCCTGCCACTGTTGCACACAATTGATTCTGCATGCATGTATAATATTTACAAAGGTTATTAAACCATTCTGATTTCTGTTGAATGTCAGTTACTGATAAATTTTTAATATATAAAAATTCATATCTTTCATTTTTTCACATGACTATATTGATGTCGGTTTCACATTGGTTGCCGGTGCAGTTGGTATCCCTGCTACCGTAAAATGGGGTAACTTAGACCACTTTTTTTATAAATGATGCCATTTTTCACTAGCTAAATTAAACTTGAATTGAAACATGCAAAATACAGGTCTACACTCTAGCTTTACTCACCATAAATTGCTGGCTCCTGCCTCTCATAGTCTTTATGTAATTTCAAAAAAAAAGTGATGGTCTTTGTTACCCCAGCTCTTGGGGTATCTTAGACCGGGTGGTAAAATCAATTATATTTTTTGGTAAAATAACTCCAAATAACTCCAGGTTTTGGTGCATTGTAGTAGAACTCTTCTAGTTACATATGCAAATGACAAAATTGAGGAAAGTGTCATAGTTTGCAAATGAGGGGTGCCACCCCATAATGGGGGAATGTGACTACCTAATGGCAGCCCTGATGGGGTAAAATTGACTGGCTTGGAAATTAAGTTGAAATTACCATACATAAGACTCTGTAGAGTCTGAAACATAAAGAAAGAACATAAATAGGCTGTCAAACATAAAATATGTTATATATGGTAATTTTATATTAACTTCCAAGCCGGTCTATGTTACCCCCTCAGGGCTGACATTAGGTGGTCTAAGTTACCCCATTTGGGGGCGATGCCCCCCATTTGCAAACTATGACACTTTCCTAAAATTTGTCATTTGCATATGTAACTAGAAGAGTTCTACTACAATGCATCAAAACCTGGAGTTATTTAACCAAAAAATAAAAAAAATTTATTTTTTCTATTGTGTTTTGTAGCCTCAGTATTAGGCCTTCAATGCCCATTGACAAAATTTTTCTATGTCAAATAGTTTTTGAGTTGTGGGGTTTTTTGTTAAAAAAACGAAAAGTGGTCTAAGTTACCCCGCCGGTCTAAGTTACCCCATTTTACGGTAGCTTTTTTTCATGGGTCACATTTTTAATTTTTTAACCTATTAGATATGCAAACTTTTTAAATTTTTCTATTGTGTTATGTAGCCTCAGTATTAAACCTTTAACCCTTTAGTGGGCAAGCATTGAAATATCCAGAAATTAAAATTTCAGAAACCATTTCAAGAAAGTAAGAAGTATTATACAATATATTCATTTCTATGCATTTTCACAAATTTTGCCTATTGAAGGTTTAAATCGCACTTGAAGAATTCAATAAATGCAATCAGTACACAAAATTTTTCTTCATAATCAAAATTCAGTATATGCAAATGAAAAATTAGAAACATAAAAATTAAATTAATTAAATTAATTAATTAATTAAATTAAATTAAATTTTAATTAAATTTAATTAATTTAATTTAAATTTAATCAAGTTGCCAAAATAAATAAATATATATATTGATACTTCCACCTTTTGAAGAAAATGCGGAAAGAGCATCAATTCCATTGTCCGAGTCGAAACCTTCAATATAAATGCTCATATTTCAATTTGTGGACTTTGCAGCTGGTGATGCTATAGATAGCACGATGGTCAGATAATCAGTGATTGACTGAGGCATTATAGGGATGCCTCAAAAACAAACAGGAAGCCGTGGTGAGGCTTTTTGTGACGCGATTTCAAGTGATCATATATGGTAACTTACCCGTGAAAGGGTTAATGCCCATTGACAAAATTTTTCTACCTATGTCAAATAGTTTTTGAGTTTTGGGGGTTTTTTGTTAAAAAAAAACAAAAATTAGTGTAAGTTACCCAACCGGTCTAAGTTACAACATTTTACGGTACCTTCTTTGTTTACGTTTTTCGTTTGGCTGATCGCAACAAAAGGAGATTGTATGTCTCAGCTGATTGCATCGGTGGTCAGTTTTGTATTTGTGGATTGAATCATAGGCAGTTTTTCATGTATTTGTGAGTGAGTGTACATAGTGAAGATGTTATTCTTTGCAATTTCCTTCAATAATGACATAACTACACTATTGTATTACGCTCTTGAAATAAGAATTGTAGCATTACGCATTAAGTTAGCATCAGTGCGTTAACATTGTGTGCATTTGAGACGGTCCCTTCTAGCTTTCTATTGCTGATTGGATTCCAGTGGCTGTGACGTTGCACACGTTCTAGGGATGATTGGATCCCTGTGACAGTACGTTGAACGCGTTCAAGCTTTGATATGATTCTTGTGACTGTTATGTTGGACGCGTTCAAGCGTTGATTGGATTCTTGTTACTGTGATGATGCAAGCGCTGTTTTTTTTAATGAAACAGCTGTAGCATCTTGCAGAGACTCATCAGTGATGATTATGGACTGAAAGTGGAAGTGTGCTGGACGTTCCAGATTTTTGGGTCCTGCTTTCCGATTTGATATGTTTACCAGTTAATATATTACCCCTCTGGAATTCCACACTATAATACCACACTGGAATTCCCCATCCAGCTGTACCTAGCTAAGCTAGGTACAGCCAGATGGGGAGCTGCCTGCTTATGAACGAGCATGCTTAAGCATTGGCTGAAGACCTATACGGCGCTATTTTCTTTCAGCAGTCTGTCGCTTGTCTGGATTATGGAGTTCAAGCTTAGTAGGTATGGCTTCTAGTTCTGAGAGACTGAGGCTGACTGGCTGAGTAAAGTTAATGCATGCTGAAGCTAGGCGTTGGCTCCAGCCTCCAAGGCTTATTTAAGAGTGAAATTTGATGCCTATGGGCCCTGGTGCAATTCTATAGGTTATTTAAAAGAACCTGGTCTTATGACATTTTGAACCGATCACGCTTCTTTATGGACTGAGCGCCCCACCGCACTACACTCCTCTGGCAAAAGCTTCTTTACTTCTGAAAAGCTCTAGTTGCAGTTCAAATGGAAAATATATTGCATGCCAGCCTATTCCTATGACCTTTGCCTGATGACTTTTTTACAAATTAAGAAAAATATATTATTATTGACCTTAACTGGAAAATTGGGCAGAAACCACCCTCAAATCAGATAATAGTGCCTGTGAATCTTTCCAACTTAACCATTTACCAAGGATTTTTCCCAATTTCTCCCAGAAAAAGTAAGAAAAACTAGGTACTTATTATTACGTACCTGCAGTTTTTGGAAATCGCCCTGAATATAACAGTTTTACCCGTAGGCCGTAATTTTATGAAGCTTCTGCATGATATTCAAAATTTGTTCTAGCCTGAATAAAGATCCAGCTCTACAGTTATTTTGAATAATTGAAGATGCCTATTTCATTACCTGGTAGGCTGATACAGACTGGCTCTGGATCAGAGACTTCATTTTGGTTAGCAGAGCAAATATGAGGCAATTTTAAGTTATCTATTCAATTTTAAGTAATTAAATTACTCACTAGTATTATGTCAAGTTTTTTAATTGCAGGTGTGAATTGTTTTTCTTTTGTCAGTTCCTTAAGTTCTAACTACTAGTCAACTGAGTTTTCTCTACCCAGTACACCTATGCCATCATGCTTTCGTCTAAGCGCAAGCTTGAGGAGAGCCATGGAGAAGACAATAAAAGTAAGTGATAATCTGTTCTGTAGCTACTGATTCAATAAATGTAAAATTTTATTTTGAATTTTCTGTCTTTAATGTTAATTTATTTTGAACAAGTGCTAAATTATTTTGTAGTGATAAACTTATTAATGATTAAATTTAGTCTATTAGAATTTAGAAATATATGAGTGGGGATGTAAACCTGTATCTCACTTCTTTGATCTTGCTGTGGAAGGTTATGGCTTGCTTTTTATATGAAAACTTTCTTATGTTGAGAGATTCAGATCATCAACTGGAAACAATTGGGATTTGCACCAATGGTAAAGTGTAGATAATGAACAATGACAATTGTTCCAAGATAAGAGTGCAAAACAGATTATTACAGATTGTTATACTAAAATATATATATTGCTATCAAACAGTTTTGTACCTACTTCATGGACATTTTATTAACCCAATCAAACTCTCATAAGTCAGTGATTCAGTAGTAATCTGATTAAGCTGGATTTCAATGAAAATTCAAAATTTTATTTTCATGATGAATCCTTTCATTTGCAGAGGTGATATCACAGCTGTGCCCATATCTGGACACCATCAACCGCCACATGCTGGACTTTGATTTTGAGAAGCTGTGCAGTGTGTCCTTATCACGCATTAATGTCTATGCCTGCCTTGTATGTGGCAAATACTTCCAAGGTGACTCACCAAAATTTATTGTTTCTCAACCTAATTTGAGGTTGAGAGATTATTATTAAGAGCTAATTTCAAGCCTTTCATAAAGTTTTTTAATCTTATTTGTTTAAAGTAACAGAGAATAATTGATTCAAAGCATCAAATAATAGTGACAGTATAATGCTGATTCTTTTATTGCTGACTTGAATGGTTGTTTGGTAAAATTTATTCATTCACTTTTGACCTAAATAATATGTACCCTTTTTCAATTAGAAGTATACTCCAAATAAAATGTTGACCCATACAGTGGCAATTAACAAAAAGTTAAGGAGGCAAACTTATAATGACTAATTTAATTTCCTATATAAACGCAGCAATACCAGGGCGTATTTGAGAATATTTTCAATTAATAGCATCTCTAATTTTGTCTTGATTTTTATTGTGTTTTTAGGTCGAGGGAACAGCACTCATGCTTACACCCACAGCGTGTCTGATGACCACCACGTGTTTCTGAACCTGCAGTCCCTGCGCTTCTACTGCCTTCCCGATAATTATGAAATTATTGGTAACTGACATCGAATTTTTGTACCTCTTCTAGTTACTAGTTGTGTTAAGCTTTTGTTTGCTTTGCATTGCTAAAATAAAAATTGAATGTAGATATAGATGCTGTTGGTACATTTGTATTTTTATTTCATTTGCTTTGTTGTAGTTATTGGGTCATGAGTCTGGAGTCTCCAGGCAACTGAATAAATGAACAAATGATGACAACAATCATAAATTTTAATTGAAAGGATTTTTTCAATGTTACATGAGCTGGGATTTGTTATTTCACAATACTAGTATCAGAATGCTAGTACTTTTAATACTTTTAGGTCATGCATGTCTGTTCAATTCAATATGTTTACCATTTCAGATCCATCACTTGCAGACATTATTTATGTGGTAAATCCCACATTTACCAAAGAATGGATCAAGATGCCACAGACAAAGATGAGCAGAGCTTATGACAAGTCCTTGTACCTTCCTGGAATAGTTGGGCTCAACAATATTAAAGCCAATGACTATTGTAATGTCGTATTGCAGGTAAGCAATTGATTTGATATTGATGCATAATTCTATACAATTCATCATAATTTTTTGTGCCTGACTTCAGACGGTGTAAATTAATTATGATCATGCAGAATAAGAGTGTATTGTGAAAGATTTAGTATGAAATTATGCAGTTTGTTTACCTATGTTGTGCAGTATATGTACCCAAGTCCTATAATGTTTGTGGTGCAGGTTTTGTCCAACATCACGCCACTCCGGGATTATTTTCTCTGCCCCGAGAACTACAGCCACATCAGCCATCCTCCTGGCAGTGCCAGCCTTGCAATGTTCCCTCTCATCACCAGGTTATTTCTGTTATTCTTCTCTATTTTAATATTTAACTCAGTATCTTAAGCAATTTTATTTATATTTTCTATTAATATATTCCTTTACAATCTTTTTAATTTTGTAGAAATTAGTTAATGATGTCTAGTTTATTTCTCTTCTCTTCTCTTGAAGGCTCATTGTCAACTTTATATATCTACACACATTATGGAGAATCATGCTCATCGTTCTTAGTGATGAGTATCTTACTATCTTTACCTCATATCATTTGTGTTTTCAAGTTAGACGAGCCAGTAGGTAGCTTAACTTAATATTCACTATATTGGCCTCAACTTAATATTCATTATACTGGCAGGTTTGGTGAGTTGGTCAGGAAACTGTGGAACCCTCGAAACTTTAAGGCTCACGTATCGCCGCACGAGATGCTTCAGGTAACATTATATCTCAATGAATACTGTATATACTAGTTACAATCATTGCTACAGCTCTGTCTAAGATCTGAACATCAACTTTTATCATATTCAGTTCTTTGTGAGAAATCTTTTAAAAATGTGGTTCAAGGGTCACTGAACTAGTTCAAATTTACCGTTCTCAGTGCAAGATTATATATTGCTCAAGAAATTTATAACCTGATTCGAAAGCTAGGTACTATGTCAACATGGCTATTAATAATGAGAAATTATGCTCATGCCCAGGTTTATAAGGGCTCAAGAATACGTACTATGAAGTAGTGAATTGTGAATTACAGAAGTTACGTACTACGGTTAATTAGGATTTCTTTTAAATATTTACAAAAAATTAGATATTCTTTATAAGGATTTATTTTAAAGAATAACATGATTAAAATGCATATTAATGAGGTAATTGTTGTGCAGGCGGTGGTAACGTGCAGCAAGAAGAGGTTTCAGTTCACAGTGCAGGGCGACGCTATTCAGTTCCTGTCGTGGATCTTGAACGCCATGCACCTTGGCCTTAAGACCAAGGCTGCTAAGGGAACCATCATCTCCAAGTGCTTCCGGGGCTCCATGGTTATACGCTCCAAAAAAGTGGGTCTTAGAAATTGTTGGGAAAACATATATTTTTATGCACGAGTATTGTTAAAAAGAAAGTGTGTCATTATGCATGAATCTTTTAATGAAGTGTACCGCCACATGGCAATCTCATTTAAAAGAGTGTATTTTGATGCACAAATCTTGTAATCATCTGCAAGTACTTTGATTATTACGGTACGTGTTACTAGGATGTGAATCTGAATTAAAAAAACAATGAAACGTTAACTGCGTGTTGTCATTATCAGCTCAAAGTGTAGGAAATGTTTTGAAGTGAATGACTTGGCTGCTTAAACGGGGTAAATTATCTAAGTATTCCTAATACAAGTGCCATTTTGTACATGCCCCTTCAATAGTACATCAAATGTTAATGTCAAACTTTGCATAAATATAATGATGTGAGAAGAAATGCTATTTGTGAAAATAGTGATAAGAAAATTGCAATCTCCAATTGCATCATGGATGAAACTCCTGGGATTGTGTGAGTAATAACTTGAGTGACCAAATAAGACAACTATGACAGTCACAGGATCATGCAAGTTACGGTATATCTTCTGTCGCCATATAACACGAGTGAAATGTTCCAGGCAGCGACTAACACTTGTGAAATATTTCAGTTAATATTGTTAGTATTGTATTTCGGTCAATATTTCAGTTCCTGAATAACACGACTACAATATTGCAGCTACTGCCTGTAGACGTGCCGGCCAGTGAGCTGCACAGGCTGCAGCAGCTACCGGAGTATCAGATGCGGGAGGAGACGTCCAAGTTCTTCTACTTGACCTGCGACCTGCCGCTGCCTCCGCTGTTTAAGGATGAAAAACAGGAGAACATCATTCCTCAGGTTGGAAAGTGTTTAAATGATAATAAAAGTTACCTTAGTTCCTTACAACAGATTATCACTATGTTGCTGGTAAAAATTATTATAGTGATGCATTATGGCAGATTTTCTTGATATGATTATTACTATAAACAATGTCATTGTGTTGATAAAGTATTTTATGATCGGGCATTGCTGGAACCTAGAGGTGCTGCATGTCAATGTAGCATAAGAATTCTCTTAATATTTCTATTTTAGCCCATACTTAATGTTTAGCCCTTAGAACAGTAAAAGTAATCCAAGAATAATCAAAATTGCTTTTCTGAATTAAAAATAATGCCTTCGTTGTTGTAAACTATCGCTAGTTATTAACTAATGTCAAATCTCCCCTCGTGCCTGCAGATCAACTTACTGCAGCTGCTGAGCAAGTTTGATGGCAAGACTGAGAAAGAATATCAGACCTACAAAGAAAATCTGGTCAAACTTTTCCAGCTGTCGAGTCTGCCTCCCTTCCTCATCCTCTACCACAAGGTGCGCCGACAACAGACCTTGTGGCGCATTCTTCTTCTAATATTATCTATATTATCTACATTTTTTATCATATATTTATCATCATTATCCCTATAACTGGGAATTTTAACTTTATTCTTATGGAATCAATTTGAATTAGGCGGAATATTTTTTCTTAATTTTTATGAACGAGTTTCATGGAATTATTCTGTATTGTTCAAATATATTTTTTTCTGTACTTCTTTGTAAAGCTATTTTAATTAGACTGAAGCCGATTATAAATGTTTACATTTAATGTTTACAAGTTGGAATTTAACCTGTATTCTTTGAATGAAAAATTGTACACATCTATCTAGTTCACATAAAAATTTTGTGGAAAATCTGAAGTGAAGATTAGCATCATGATTATTAATTACACTGTGTCTTGTTTTGCAGAGGTTCACAAAGAACACATTCTATGTTGAGAAAAACCCAACCATCGTCAACTTCCCTGTGCGTAACATTGAACTTGCTGACTATCTTACGGAGGAGGTGAGTCTAATTCACTTCTTTTTTTTTTTAACTTTCTGTAAGTTTTGCTTGAACTAAACTGATGTCATTTCTGCTACTTATATTTAGGAGATCGTCATCGTTGTCAATTCTAACATTATTTTAACTGAATCAATGATTCTTCAGATAACATTTTGCGTATATAGAAGCTTTGTATAGAGAAGGTTCGTGTTATCAAATTTAAAGTTTTTAGTGTATACTGAAGTAAAGACACGTTAGTTCAACTTGTTCCATAGAACATTATTGTAAATTATTTGTAACATAATAATAATATTATTTTACTTGCAGTTGCGTATGCGATTCCCTAACCCCTTGTACGACCTGGTGGCCAACATCGTACACGACGGACAGCCTGACAACGGCACCTACCGCTGCCACGTGCTGCACAAGGTCTATTATTATTATTAATAATTACACTCAGGGGCTAATGTCAACTAATACTAATAGGGGCTAATAATAGAGGTTAATGTCAACTAATAAGGGCTAATAATTACACATTATTACACTCAGGGGCTGATGTCAACTGTGTGTTTGAACTTATCTTTAAACCTTCTTAGACTTGATAACTTTACATTATTGTTACGCTATTAACATCCTTGTTAGACTGAATAATTGATGCTACTTAGACCGAACTGAAGGTCGCCAGACTGAATAACTTTTAAACTCTTTCACCTTTACTTAAGTACTTTATTGTACGTGCAGTATTGTACCATCGTACAATACAGATAATTTCTGTGACTTTAGAATCCCGTTAACCTGATTAACCTTTGTCGGCCTGCATAGTTACAATTGCACGTACGAGGGTACAATACAATAGACACATTGTATTGTACCCTCGTACGTGCAATTGTAACTATGCAGGCCGACAAAGGTTAATTAGGTTAACGGGATTCTAAAGTCACAGAAATAATCGAGCCCAGACAACGACTTGTTAACCAGCTAGTATCTGCTAAAGCCGTAAGATCTTTGTACTTCGTTACTTGACAGCACAGACTGTTGGCAGTCTTCTGTTATATTTTATTTTAATTTTGTTTTAAATATCATACATTAGACTCGCTATCCACTATAAAATTTGAAATTACATATTGTCATCACTAATATGATCAACTGATGAGCACTAATATGTAATTTCCACGTCAGGGCACCGGCAAGTGGTACGAGATGCAAGACCTGCACGTCAAGGAGATCGAACCTCAGATGTTGGCGCTGAGCGAGTCATACATTCAGGTATAAAGGCATCATTTTTTGATGTGTTATCTTACTCTAGAACGTTATTATTAACAACTACATTTTCTGGATATATTCTGTTTCGTGATTTTTTGAATACATGAGAATGATATAACTTGAAAAATTCCATTTCGGGATATAGATAATATTACACATGATATTAAATAAATGGAATTCTAATGTTACGTCAAGTTATATTTGTTTGTTTAAGTGTAAATGGAAGTTAATGACTGTGTGTTCTCACCAGATCTACGAGCTACAGAAGCAAAGCATCCAGCGGCCTAAGCCGACATCGCAAGATGATGGCGTCGGCATGGACCTCTCGCCCTAGCTTGTATTGATGATCTCATCCATTTTATATTATTGGCCTCGGTTTAACACCATTTTCAGTAGTGGAGCCATATTGTGAAACGTTATTCCCGATCCAGCTCCCTTAACCCATGCAAGTTTTTAGTTATCCAAATAATGCAAATTATTATTTCTTATCTTAAATAGTCTTATCCAAATAATCAAATTATACGATCGATAATACTGTGGAAGTTGCTGCCTTCGGATCCTCAAAAATGTGCTAGAATATTTTTATACGTTTTATTCTTATTCTGATCCTCAAACTTAACTTTGAATAGATAATAAATTATTGTTATTGATATTCTGAATTTCTTCTCATTCGTTCCTGCACTAGTTTATCTGTGTTAGTTGCGATGAGGAACTTAGTAGAAGTTTGTTCGAAAAATTTATCCTTCAAGCAAGAACGGTTGCACAAAATTTTACGTCCTAATTTGTTTAACAGTATAGAATTCCAATGCATATCATTTATTAGTAAATCTCACTGAAAGTGTTGGTCTGGTAAATCTCACTGAAAGTGTTGGTCTAGTAAATCTCACTGAAAGTGTTGGTCTAGTAAATTTATCGTTGGTTTGGTCTGGGTATTTATTTTCTAGGTCTGAAGCTTGGCTTCCATCTGCGCCTCTCACGGTCACACTGGGAAGCTCGTCTCTTCTAATGGAATTATATTACAAGTATTTCATTTATTCAACCGTATTAGTATTGTACTTTTTTTTGGTCTTATAATCTATCTGGTTTTTCGCCAGAGATTTTTTTTTAATATATCATGTTGGGTAAAGCAGTTTTGCTAATAAAAAAGTGCTTTCAGAAAAGAAAATAACCGCTTTATAATAATTTAAATCCTACTGACTGCAATGCAAGCTTCTTTTAGAGCACTGGCTGCGTGATGGTTACATTATTTAACTGACTTGTTTACGAAGAATTCCTGCATATTATGTATGAAGAAGTTAGCGTGATTTTCTCAGTATGATTTTTAATTTTGAGTGACGAGCTTCCCCTCAGTGTGTAGGGGATCTCACAACCCCCGGAGATCGAGTGAACTTTCCAGCGAAATTATCCAATTATTTATCTTTCAATCTTGACTTTCAGAACACTCGTTACAAGTTACGGATGCTGGTCTGTAACTTTCAATTTGATCAAACCCTTTGCATGTTCCTCCATGAGGTTTGTTTACTCTAAACCAGTGGTTCCCAAAGTGGGCGATATCGCCCCCACGATATCGGTGGAAGGATTTTGGGGGGCGGTAAGGAAGAAGAGGGCCGTAGGGGGGCGATAGTCCACAGTCAATGTCAGAAGTTCGAACGTTTATTTGACGATGTGTACACAACACGTGCAGCACTAGACTGCCATGGTTGATCAATCATGCATGACCCCCATGCAGCGATGGTTTTTTCACCCAGATCTGTTTTCGTAACCTCTCGATCCTGGGTTTACGTCTCGGACAAATTAACGGCCGGACTCGCGGCCGGTCTCACGGCCAATTTCCAAATTCAATAATCAAAGAATATCTCTCAAACTAATGAACTTAACTCGATGAAACTTGATACACGTATTCATTATGACCTAACGATAATGTTTTGCTTGTGAAAATTGTTTGAATTTTGCCATAGTTATAAGGCATTACGGGCCGAAATTCACAGTGATCAAGTAATTTCTTTCAAACTACAGAACAGATTCGAACGAAATTTTGAATTTACAGTCCTAACTACCGAACGGTAATGTTTAGCTCGTGAAAAATTTTCCGATTGTGCCTTCTTTTGCGATTTTTTGTTTCATTTCACCTTCATTCGTGATTTAAACAGCAATACGTGCTTAAATTCGCAGTAATCAAGAATTTTTTCACAAACTACTTTGTAGTTTGAACAGATTTGAACGAAATACCTAACCTCAGCAACGGTGATGTTTAAAATTTTTCGTTTTGCCTTCGTTTGCGAGTTATACGGCTATACGTAACAGGCTCTTGGTTAAACCGGCCGGTAGAAAAGCCGGTCGTTTCTCCTATATCTGTATAACTCGCAAAGCAAAATAGAAAAAATGTCACGAGCTAAACATCACCGTTGAGAGGTTAGGTATTTAAATACAAAGTTTAGTTGAAATCTGTTCTGTAGTTTAGAAAAAATTTCTTGATCGCCGCGAATTTAAGTGACAAATTACCCGGCGATACGGGCCGAAAATAAGGAAGTGTGCGTGAAATCAAGAATGACGGTGAAATGAAAAAACTCGCAAACAAAGGTAAAATCGATAAAAATTTATAAGCTAAAAATCATCGTTTTGTAGTTAGGAATGTATATTCAAAATTTCGTTCAAATCTGTTCAATAGTTTGGGAGAAATTCTTTGATCACTGCGAATATCGGCCTGTTTCGCAATATACGCGTAACTCACAAATGAGGGTGAAATTAAAAAAAATTACGAGCTAAACATCACCGTTAGGTTCTGTTGAATACGTGTTCCAAGTTTCATAGAGCTGCGTTCATTAGTTTGGAACATATTATTTGATAATTGAATTTGGGGATTGGTCTTGAGACCGGTCACGAGTCCGGCCGTAAATTCGCCCGCGACGTCCTAGATGGTTTCTAGTGCTGAAACAGCTAAAACAGCTGAAAAACATATTGGTTCACTAAATGGGGTTTTATTTGTGAAATACACATTTGTGTTTAATCTTTATCTTTTAAAATTGCAGCGTACTAAATTTCAAGAAAGAGGCGTATGTCTGTGGGGGGCGCTAGAAATTCACTGGGAAGCCAAAGGGGGTGCGCAGCCTGAAAAAGTTTGGGAACCACTGCTCTAAACGTTGGCAATGGTTGACTGCAAAAACATTCTACCTGCGAGGAATATAACGTTGATTAAATGTTGTTTCAATGTAATTTTTCTGGAGGTTTAGGTTCTGTTTCAGCATGTGGGTTGTTCAGTGATGCGCCAATTAATTTGCGTGGGCGGATAAAGTCCATAACAAAATTCCTTGGTGTTGAAGATTTGTAAGAGATAATCCCGTTATTATGTATTGTTAAGAAAGCGATAAGTCAACAATGGCAGATGAGGACAATTTCCGTCCAGTATTCAAGTATTACAAGAGCAGGGAACCGCGTCCTGACTTGAGCAGACTGCTGCGCGTAGCCTCTGGCGAGCCGGTGAGTTCATATATGTGCATGTTAATGTAGCAAAACTTGTCTATGATGGAGAACATTTTCCTGAATATGAAGAAGTGATACACAACTTTGACATTGACAGATGTCGATCATGGTCCTAATATGTGGTACCTAGTCGAAGTTGTACTACGGTATTTATTTTCGTTACTGTGGATTTGTGCTGTGTAAAAATATATGACGAACTATGAAGTTTTTATTGAAAATTTTAAAGGAGCTCTCAGAAGCTATCCAAACAATTAATGCATTTTTAGTATACAATGAGGATCCTTATTATTATCAGCCTCATAACATAATTTCAGGGCGTGCATCTTCTTGAACCCCCAACGCAGTCCCTCAACTGCAAAGATTTCTGCGCCCTGGGGCTGCACCCGCCAACACAGTGGCAGGTCTTCGCAGTCCACAACCACCCTGGTGAGTGGTAGGTGTGAGTAGTTGTGGAGTCATGGTATTTGGTAGCTGTAAGACCAGTTATGCAGTCCACAACCACCCTGGTGAGTGGTTGTGGAGTCATGATATTTCGGTAGCTATAAGACCAGTTATGAAGTCCACAACCACCCTAGTGAGTGGTAGGTGTGGTTGTTGAATCGTGATATTTTGGTGGCCGTAAGACCAATTACGCAGTGCACTACCTAAGTCCAACTATTAGTTCCTGTTCTATTAGAATATTTTCACCTCTAGATTGTATTACAGTAGGAATATCGGAATGTAGAAAATTACGAGCTGTGTAAGGAAATGAAAGACTGCTGGCGATTTTTGTTTTTATGCTCGTAGCAATGAACTCGATGCAAAATAATACAAGTTTAGTTATAAATACATATATAAAGAAACTAACTCTGGTTCCTTCCTCGTCTGCGCAACAATCTCATCATTAAAGAAAAGTCTCGTGTGATATCACTTCTAAATTATCAAATTTTTTCAAACTTCCTCTTTAATTTTTGTGTTTTTCATCTATTGAGGTCTGTTGGTGATACACGGAGCGTTCACGCCTCAGGGTGAACTGTTCTGGACTGCCAAATGCCTAACAGAATATCCTGACTCGCCTAACATCAACAACATCACGAACATCACAAGCGGCATCAGCACCCACGATAATATCCCCAACACTCAAAAAAACCGCGGCCACGATGCGGGTTCTGCCACGGAAATGTCCAATTTATCAAAGAATGAGGAAGATAATTGCGCGCATGAGAGTTGGTGGAAAGATGTCGTGAATGGGTGGGTAATAATTTTTCATTTATTCATTTTTTATTTTTCACTTTATTCAAAATCGTTAGATTAACGAATTCCTTGCAAAATCACAATTTTAAGACCGCGTGGCTTGTCGCTAATTATTATCGTACTTGAGACGAGCAGACTTGACGTTCAAATTTACATAAAATTTTTGTTCACAGATGTTTTATTCTTGCAGAGGCGGAGTGGAGAGTTCAGTGTGCCGAGAATTGAGGTGGAGCACTTTAGGTTACCACCACAACTGGGAGACTAAAGTAATCACAGATTTCATTCAACTCGAGTAGTGATTCAATTTATATTCGAAATCTCCAATCATTAATTCTTAGGATCCCCGCAACATCATAATTAAAAGCATGTTCGGTTACATGCACTTGTAAATATACAGGTATGAATACATAAGAAGATAATTGATTCGCTAAAGTTGTATACTATTGAATTAAAAGCATTTTTAAATATTATCATTAACTCTTCCCTTCAATTCTAAACAAGGTCTACAGTGAAGACCGAAGGTCGGCCTTCCCTCCATGTCTATCGCGCCTGTCCTCGGTCATTGCATCAACCGTGGCAACTTTCTTGAGGACTTCAAAATTGTCAAAACTACAAAAAAGACAAAAGTCGACCCTTTCAAGAAGTCAAACCACATCATCAAATAATTTATCGACTTTTGAAAATGAGCAACGTGACGAGCCTATTCCTAATTCAAACGATACAGTTGAAGATGAAGGCAGCAACTCTAGGCAGTTTGCAACAAGATCAGGAAGAAAATCTCGTGAGGTTGTGGAAGATGGTGGCTGTACCGACTTGAATTGTAATGAAGACGCCGAGGCGACCTATGAAACTAGGATGAGTAATGGGAATAATATAATGAGAAAAAGTTATGAATTTAATTGTGCCAACGGAATGAATTTGACGAAAGCTGTTATGAATAACTTGGATGATTTTGGTGACGTGGATTCAAATACTTCAGCGATAGGAATACACGGGCTGAACGCAGAAGATTTTGACGAGTTTACGGCAGAGGCCGCAATTGTAAACTACTACTTGCCGGGCACGAGTTTGTGTCCACACACGGACCATTCCGAGTCTATATACACCGCGCCCCTGCTCTCCATCAGGTAGGACTTGATCTCCAACTGGAATTTCAATCAAGAAGACTTTAAAGAACGAGGTAAATTCCTTCTAATCTTTAATAATTGTCATTGCATTGTATGTACTTACCAATACATTCAAAATTATCAATGTTAGACAACTTCGTAACCCTTCCCGTTATAGCAATGTTGACACACGGTAGTGTAAAATAAATAACGTATATATGTCATCTTTATATTTCCAGTCTTGGACGTCCATGTGTGTTCCTAATCGGCGGACGAGACAAAAGTGTACCGCCGTCCGCACTCGCGCTGCGGTCTGGGGACGTGGTCGTCATGGGCGGCGCGGCGCGTCTCAGCTACCACGCGGTGCCCCTCGTCTGCAGCACCGACCAGTGGCAGCAAATGGCCGGGCCTCAGCTGCCCCGGTAAGATAATACATCTGGCAGTTGAGGGTGAGCAGCCAACTGGCAGTTGGTGATTGTGTATCCAAGCAGTTATGGCCAAGCTATTCATGTGTTTATGTGCGATTTGAATGTATTAATGCCTTTATGCTTCTTTTCCCAGCGGACCAATCGAGGACTTGGGGCAATTGTCGTGTACTTCTTGCGGTGCTGGTCCAACTTGGGAGCTGGAGAAGAATGATGAATTGATTAGGCAATATTTCGACATGTATCGGATAAATATAAATGTGCGACAAGTTGGGAAACTTTGATTTTCGTCACGTATTGTGAAACATATTTGAGAATATTTCACAATGTAAGTGCAATTATTACTTTGGTTATTTTGAATTTCTTGAGGTGCCTGTTAAATGAGGATCCAACGGAGGATGTAGGAGGGTGATAGGATAATACTATGAATTCGAGGAACTAGACATTTTCGAGAAAGCAGCGAGAAATGTTCATGGCGCGTTGTAGAAGAAGCAACGCATGTGCATGCAGTCTAAGCGTACCCAACGAATGGTTACCTGAAAGAGAAAAATTATATGATCATATATTACCGTCTTTTGTGTTCCTAAGAAAGCTACTTTGATGTTTCACAATATAATCATGTTTTTAAGAAACTTCAAATAAATGTAAAATTTCTTATGGTTTATGTATATGTAGCAAATGTAAGGTAAAGGAACGAATGCCGTTTCATATCCCATAAATGTAACAAATTTCTAGTCCTTCAATTTGTTCTTACCAGTTTGAAGAAGGTATATTGAATTGCTTTAATAAACGGCTATGTATTTCATATGTTCGCTTAATTTACCAGTTCACTCACCTCAACATTAATATTGACTCTTCCTCTTGAACGGTTTGAGAGCGATGTATAATTCTATGCCGGCTAGACATCTTGGGCGAGTGATGGTCGGCGAATGTAAGTAGCCGAGGTTGGGACGTCCATTATTTTTAATAGAAATTTGCAGCTGCGGCTTCTTCACTTCTCTTCCCTTTAAATCAATATCATTACAAAAATAGTTTTGAGAAAACGCGCTGGGTAGAAGTAGATGCAAATCAATTGTTTCGAACCAACCAAACAACAAAGGTACCAAAACTCCACTTCATCGTAACAAATTAATTACCATATACGGCAAATATATTAATACTCGTTATCTTTGTGTACACACCCGTTTCTTACCAGCTGAAAAGAATAGCTCCGCCGATTCGGCGCAGAGCTGACCTTCGGTGTCGGCTGCTGCAAATATCCTCTCCACGTCCCGAGCGTATAGGGAAGCTGCAGAACCTCCTTCCATTGTTCCTGCTTTGAACCCCAGATGCACAACTTGAGAGATAGGTTCATTTCTATAAGTTTTTATATTTTGATCGGGTCGCCTGTCCGCCTCAGCGAACAACTTGTTTGTCGCAGGCAAAAAAGCCGTGCGACTCTTCCGGTTATCCAAGAGCTTATCGTCTAACTTCGACCGAAGTTTTACCGGAAGAGTTGATATAAATTTCGCGTCTTCTATTGGGTAATCCGGATTGTTATCTGCTGTCAATCCATCAACTGAATCGTTTTCACAGAGGCTATGTTGGATGGTAGGCATATTAACCTTCACTTCTGTACACTTGATAGAATTCGTACCAACCTTCAAACTGGCTCCATCACTGTGTGAATATCCATGAATTTGTTCTATGGCACAGCTGGAGGCATTCATTCTACAACCGTCAAGGCCGACTCCAGTGTAGTTATTATCTTTAATGACTACTTTTTTCAAAATAATATCGCAATTTTTGAGTGCGCTGTTTGCTCTACGATCGCCTTCATCATCTTCAGTGGGCGGACTCTCTTCTCCTGTGGCTTCGGAGCGGCAGGGATTTCTAACATCGTCGAAATTTTCTTGAATAAATGAGTAGGCTTTACAACATACAGGCATTTGCCTTCCCCCAATCATGGCTTCTACTTGAGCCGCAGACGCCAACCGAGTAGAATAATCTTGCAAATAGTTATATTCTGGCAAAGCTGATGCCTCATCACTGACACGACGGCCAAATTCATGGGGATGTGCTCCGCTGAAAATAGTCTCGCGATTCAACTCTATTGGCTGCACTGCGCCAGGAGTTGAACATAAAATTTGTAAATTTGTTTTATCTGTAGCAGAGAGATTGCGAACCGCATACATTTTCTGATAACCATCATTAGGAGTTGATACGTCTTCGCTGCCACACTCAGACTGTCTCGACTCGTAGGTGGTGGCTTCTGATGTCTGATTTGCAATACTTGATTGGTGATTGTGGTGTCGATTGCAACGCAATAGTTTAGCGGCACCACACAATATCATCACCAGAGATGTCGCCACAACCACACTCAGCATCAGTACCAGAATGATGCTAGATGGTTGGTAGGAAGGTAAAGGTAGAACAACAGGAGGCATTGACGTTGGTAGAGGAAGCAGGGACGCTGCAACTGGAGGGTCGGTGGTAGTAGAGGATGTGTAGTCCTCTGCATTAGAAAAAACAGTTGTTTTCTATTTGAAATAAAGTTAAATAGCGAGAACAGCTTGCAAGCTACTCATTTCACTGGATTGAGTTTTCAAAATATAGCTAGATTGAGTACGATAAAACTAGCCAAACAGATCTAACAACATGAAACCACCCAGTTCGTGAGGCCTCGTACATAACATATGAATTACAGTATTATTCTGAAAACTCACAAATAAAAATAATGATTATTTAAAATCGATAACTCGTCTAGACCTGTCGTATCCTCTGGCAACAAGATCGCCTGCAGTAGCACCGGCGAAGACAAGAGGCCAGTTGAAGACGTGGAAAACAAACGAAGCTGCAGGGCAGACGAAGGCGGTAGGTCACGCACGTCAAAATTAGCGTCCTCTGACGAGATATTTCGTACAAGATGGCCCGTTGGCGACCAAAGCTGAAAATTAAGAAGAAAAAGATTAATTCACATTCATGAAGAAACGGCTGGGAAGATGCGTCGGGACGGACACTTGAAGCGCAACGTTGACTGACGATCACAACAAACAAAATGAGAACGACCGTAGCGTGGTGAGGGTAGATGAGGGTAGCCGGGGTGAGCAAGTACCTGCCGCGTGGTGAGGGTAGATGAGGGTAGCGGGGGTGAGCAAGTACCTGCCGCGTGGTGAGGGTAGATGAGGGTAACGGTAGCGTGGTGAGGGTAGATGAGGGTAGCGGGGGTGGGCAGGTACCTGCAGCGTGGTGAGGGTAGATGAGGGGAGCGGGGGTGAGCAGGTGACCGTCAACCACGTGGCGCTTCTGGAAGTGGCCGAGCAGTCTGAGGGTGGAGGCGGTTGCTCTGTGTAAAAATTGAGAATTCAAGTCAAATTGTTTATTATACATTGTATATATTCTATAATCGCCATAAGAGTTACTCAATAATAATACCAGTTCACTAAAATGATGCGAATAAAACTGATTACTGGTGTATTCATCATAATAAATTCGTTCATAAGCCGAATTTTAATGTGCCGAGAATAAAGATACTGAAGAATAAAGAAACGAGAAGCCAAGCCTCGACTTGCCTGACATGAGGAGCGTGAAGTAGCACGGCTGGGGGCTGTAGCCCCGCGAGTTGATGGCGTAGCAGGCAACCTCGACAGCGTCGGCGTGGCCGGCGTCTGCGGTGCCGAGGGGCGCGGCCTTGGGTGCAGACTCGCGGGCTTCAGAGTGACTCGTCCCGACGAGAGATTGTCCCGAGTTTGCAGTGTAAAGTGTACTCGTATTTAATTTATTTTCAGCTGGATAATTTAGTCCCGGGAACTCAACTTTAAGACTTTTTCTAATTTTACTTCCGACTTCGGGATATAACAGATCATTTACTTTAAGTGTTCTCTGTTTACCATTTTTGTCGATAGTAGATAATTTTGTCGATAAATTAAATGATTTTTGGGTATAATTTTTGTATCCTTTCAAGCGTGTCTTGTCCGTCCCTACACGAGGTTTTGAATTATCGATGCTGACTGAACTGGAAACCTTCGAATACCTGGAAGCTCCGTCACCTGGCAGGTCGTTCTGCTCACTAGATGAAACTGACTTTAATTTCATACCAAAAGGGTTTGTAACTGAAGTATGACACAATTTGATATGTGCATCACTCCAAGCTGAGTCTAGAGTGGCTCTTCCTAGTCGGTTCGAAGAGTCGTACGCTGAAAATTGTTTGTTCCTGTCAACATTTTCAACGACTTTTTCGTCAACTTTCGACTTGGCTACAAATTTATTTGAAGGTATATCCATCAGGTCTTCTGGTTCCAAATTTTTCGAAGCAGCAGTTTTCATTCTACTGATTTTCAACGATTCGATCATTTTTGCCGTTAACTTGAGATCGTGACTGCTTGTTGTACCCAATACCGCTGGAGCAACGATGAAATTGTAAGAGCTTGAGTTCTTACGGCCAACATCGGCAGTCTCCGAAGTGGCGAAATTAATTGTCGCATTTCCAGTGGTATCGGTAACAAAATCTTCAATCGAGTTTTCGGAGGCTGTTTTACTTCGGCTATCGGGATTAAAATAATCAGGATTGTAGGTTTCTAGACGGACGTTAGATTTTTGCGTGGAAGTCTCTGGAGCGGCAGCACTGGGTTGCCCCGGCGAGTCTTTCATCCCAGCGGGACTGTGAGAACTAAAGGCACCGGTGCGTACCCAGATGATGCCCGTAGCAGGAGGATTTGCCGTGATGGGGCAGTGGAGAATGGTGCCCACAGATGCCCTTAGTTCTTGATGACTTGAGGATGAACAGCGCGGGGCATCTGAAGAAAATCCGCCATTGAATGAGTAGCTGTCAAATCTGAAAGTCTAAAGTTACGTACGGGAACTAATGATTTTTATTGGATTAATCACTCCGGATTACAATCACACAAATGGTCTTCATTAAAAATTAGATTTTTTACTCCGAAATACCAACGTGGAAATCGTTCAGTGAATATTATGTTATACAAACGTGTATGAATCTCTTGGTATTTCATTGTAGTGTTCAATCTCACCCCTTGCATTCATTGTTATTACCTAATCGGTCATTCCAGAGATCCATTGGCTGCTCGACCCGATTCACTTGTTGGATCAATTTATACTGAATTTAGTAGCAGGTTTCCATTTGATCTTATGATGTATTCATTTAAATTCCTGCATTAACTGCCAGAAAACGGTAAATTTAACTGCCGATTTACCAGGACTTACGAGTGATGGAGACCAGCACAGCGTTGCTCTGTCCATCGCCCTCGCTGTTGCTGGCCACGCAAGTGTACAGCCCGCCAGTCGCGGCCGTCGCCTCGGCCACCACAAAATCAACCTTCATCTCCTTTAGATCATCTATTTTCTCTGAGAGCTTCTCATGTAACGCATTTTTTAATTCCTCTTCGCTCGACAAAAAAGGCTTAGGATTTTTTAAAGTTAGGGACTGCAGGTATTCCGAGTCTTCTTTTTCAAGAAATTTTCGGAATTTTGCACGCGAATTTTTGTGCTCCGCTTCATCACTTCCTGAGCGCATAACTGGACTGAGTTTTGTACTTTTTGGTATGATTTCATCGGCCTGCAGTTGCTCCTTGTCGTCAATAATGTTACTTTTTTGGGCATTCTTGTCACAATCCGCTCTCGAAAGCTTTAATTTTTCCGGCTTTCTATCATCAAAACCAAATTGAGGAAAGTGTGCTAAGAAATATTGTAGCGAAGAAATCATCTCTTCACTAGAAGAGCGGCTGCGGCTCCTCGTGTGGCGCTTCCCGGAAGTGAAGAGGCCGCTCGCTTCACTCAGAATTTTGGGAATATTTTCATTTTGTTTTGATGAGGACGCGTGCTTCAGAACTTCCTTGTCAGCAAGTTTTTTCTTGTGCACAACCCGCCCCTGGCAACTCAGGATGGAGGAAATTATTGTAGTTGTCGGCCTCGTTGACAGCCATTCGCTGTATACTTTGTTTAAGTTTATTCTAAATAGATTTTAAGCTCAGAGTACAATCAGTCCAATTCAACGTCAGAAATGTAATTATCTCTTAATATCTTCGGCAGGGGCAAATTAAAATCGCTAAATGGCTTCAGAAATGAGACCAGCCAAATAATTAAAGATTTAGCTACGGTGAATTTTCCTCAACCATTTTATCACTCAAAGCTATTCATTTACATTTTTCTATGGCGTGCGCAATTCAGCGAGTAATCAGATGAGTAATTAAGAAGCCCATAAACTAAACAATAACCCAAATAACATAACTAATCACCCATCGTTATTCCTGTTATTTCACGTTATAAAACACGAACAAGAAAACAAATCTCACGTTCAGGAGGAAAGCGACGTAATCTGGCGGAGGTTTGGCGGAAATCTTGCATCGCAGCACCAGCTTATTGCCCTCCTCCACCTCCACCCTCACTCCTCCCCCTCCACCCTCCACCTCCAGCACCGTCTCAGGCACCGCTACAAATGACAATGAATGTAACAATGAATAATATCGCTAGCTCCACAAATACGACTCTTCACAAGTTATTAAGTAAGAAACTTGAGTAAAATCGTTCGATTATTATCACTTTCACACGTTCTGTAAATACTGTAACTAGCCCAGCACGATTATTCGACTCACTCTACGCAATTATTTGACTTGCTCTACACGAGTATTTGACTCACCCAGCACGAGTATTTGACTCGCTCTACACGGGTATTTGACTCGCTCTACACGAGTATTTGACTTGCTCTACACGAGTATTTGACTTGCTCTACACGAGTATTTGACTCGCTCTACACGAGTATTTGACTTGCTCTACACGAGTATTTGACTTGCTCTACACGAGTATTTGACTCGCTCTACACGAGTATTTGACTCACCCAGCACGAGTATTTGACTCACCCAGCACGAGTATTTGACTCACCCAGCACGAGTATTTGACTCACACAACACGAGTATTTGACTCACCCAGCACGAGTATTTGACTCACCCAACACGAGTACTTGACTCACCCAGCACGAGTATTTGACTCACCCAACACGAGTATTCGACTCACCCAATACGCTGATCAGAACCGATGCCTCGACGATCACGAGTTGCTTTGACTGGGAATTTTTGACGCGGTTTTTGTGCCGCTTCTTGCCGCTTGCAGGGAATTCTGCTGCTTTTTTAGACGAAATTCCGTTGCTCGTCAAATTTTTCAAATTAAAGTAAGTGGTTGCCGCGGCATTTGGGTACTCATTGGTGAGCTCGTGGTCCGGATAGCCTGATAACCACTCCGCATCGGTAGCGTTTTTTAACGCCCAGGAGCGCTCATTTTCTGCAAGTGAAGTTGAATGATGAATGCATTGTAAATGCCGGGGTAGAAATTTTAGAGAAATCCTTTAACCTTTGATTTTCGAGACGAATTTGGCCATCAAACACAGACAATAAGTAATACGAACCGACTGTTCAGTAGTGGCAACACGTAGAAACATATTTTAGTCAATTTGCAACGGCATCAAAATGAACGGTAAATTTATGTCGCTGCTTTTCTACTAATAAGATTAGCTTCTTCTGCTGAATCGATCCCACAAATAATCTCTGATCATAATCATCATAGTACCGTACAGCTTATCCACACTTCCTTTCGGTAATCTCAAGAAATGCTCTCGTCACAATACTCTGGCTCATATCATTATTATACAGAAGTAAAACAGATAGTCCTATACAATAACTTAAACAGACAGTATTATACTATAACTAAAATACACTACTATACACAACTGAAACAGCCAGTACTGTACAGTAAGTAAAACAGACAGTATTATACTATAACTAAAACACACTACTATACAATAACTGAAACAGCCAGTACTGTACAGTAAGTAAAATAGACAGCACTATGCAATAATCAAAGAAGACATTAAAATAACTCGCCGTGAGGCAGCGCCTTGCGTCGTGCGGGTTGCCTGCTGGCGACGCGACACGTGAGCTGCCGGCCGTCGTAGGCCGCCTTCAGCGCCAGCGTCAGGCGACTCACAGCAACGTGTGGCTGAGGCTGCGACCACGAAGACTGCAACAGCTCGCCGTCTATCAGCCATACAAGCCTCTCAAGATCACTACCTGTGATGCAAACACAGCTTCAACCACTTACTACCACCAATTATTTATATTAACTTCTTTTAACAAACACGTCCTACAATTCGTGGAATGCTAAGACCTTTTTTTCGTTTCCTAATAGAGATGTATGACGACGATACAACTTGGGAAGAAGAAATAAAAACGAAAAAAAACATTCTTAATTTAGGAGAGCGATGGTTATAAGAGTATAATAATTTTCGTTACCAGGCAGTCAGATACAAACAGCATTGACGCCGATCAACGTATGACAAATAACTAATTCAATGGCTCCGTATTGGACAGCAGGTCTTCGTATACGCAACGAAGTCTCACCCGCCAGAGCTCGGCACGTGATGCTCAGACGATGCCCTTCAGAGAACGGCTTGAGCGCGCGCCCCACGGCCTCGCCGTTGTCGTGCAGCAGCGTCACGGTGTGGACTTGGTCTTAGCATAATATAATGATATCCATTATATATTTCTGCGTCACGGCAGGGACTTGTTCTCAAGATAATATAATAATATCCATTATATATTTCTGCGTCACGGCATGGACTTGTTCTCAAGATAAAATAATAATATTCATTATATATTTCTGCGTCACGGCAGGGACTGGTTCTCAAGATAAAATAATCATATATATTATGTATTTCTATCTGAAGCAATTACAACTTTTTGCTCCAAACAACACAACAGCTGACTCGTTCATTGGGGCTTATTTGGCATGAGGAGTGTTTGTTTTGTACAATATGCACAGGCGCTGCCAACACTCAATAACGGAAAACTTCCTAGTTTGTTAGGCCTCGAACCCACAACTTGCTGGTCTAAATCTCTTCGCACTCGACCGCTATATCCTATGCGAGGGCTTTCGCCCACAAGCGTCTTGATGTATATTTGTAATATTTGGCTAAGGGTTAGTGCATAGATAGGACTCTCACTGAAGCATAGACGGAATGTAACATTGTAAATGTAACATCAGTACACGGAATTTCGAACCCATGTTTGAATTACTCAAGTAAATATCAGTTACTGCGGGCATGTTAAGTTCTGTGTTGTTCATTGTCACTATCGCGCGTCTTCAAACATCTTGCGGATAAACCAAGGTCCTATCAGATATACTGAATATTTTGAAGATATCGTATAATACAACTGCAATACGTACGCTCTTGATAGATCAGAATAAACCCAACTAACAGTTATTATGAAATTTTGTAATAACATGCATTCAATAATTTCAAGTCACTTAATAGCAACAATTTCAGAAAAAATAAAACAACTGAGTTATGTTGCAGCTCACTGTGGACATGGAAACGGAGTCGCCTGGCCTGTACGGGGCTGGTGCGGTAGTGCACTACGCAGCGATAGTCTCCTTGATCCTTGAGAGTGACGTCACGTAGAACCAACACCGCCCCCTCCCTCTCGAGACTGAGATGCGTGGTGTGTGAGGGTTGTCGGAGAGAATACTTAGAGAGAGTAGCATTGACTGAGGTGGGAGAATTTAGATGTTTTGGAAAGAGTTGTGAATAATATGGTGCAGATGTTGAGTCTGATAATATAGGTATAAATGTGGGTTGAGCTAAAGGCATGGAAGAAAGCGGGGAGAAAAATTTTGTTGAATTGTGGTAGAAAAATGAACGTGATGAGCTGGAGTCTAAAAATGAACGTGATGAGCTGGAGTCTAAAAATGACCTCAAATTATAAAATTGCGTTTCTGGACCGACACCTAATCTAAAGTGACTAATCGACCGACGGACGCGCCGAGGTGAAAAAATATCAAAATTATTCAAAGGCGAGTCGGAAGGTTTTGATAATGGGGTTAGAAATTGATTTGAATACTCGGGTGTGAGAGATGTCTTTACTGCCACACTCTCAAATTTATTATTTTTTAAACTTTGGTCAGCGTAATCAGCTTTTGTGTTTGCATTACGTCTGTATTGTGAGTAGACACTTTTTTCGGAGTGAAAAGTGTCGAGTTTGAAAGATTTATAGTCAGTATTGTTGAACAGATCCGCTTGCTTTCTGCGGACTCGAGTTCTGCTGTCGTAACTGAAGAGGAGAATGATAATAAGACAAAATATTATCGAGTAAAGTGACATGATTAAGTCATGCAAATACGTTTGACAATGATTTGAGTTGAATAACGTTTGAAAGATATTATAATAGTTTACATAATATAATAATATTCGCAAACAGTGGTTCAAAAATCGCAAAAACCCCACGGAGAATATGCACAGAGAAAAAGTTCACATCAATTTTGATTTATATTATCTCTCCACCACTCCAGAAATTTCATGCAATTTATCGTCATTCCGTCACTACACAAAACCCAATAATAATTCAAACATTTCTTCGTACTAAAGACAGCAATGCAAAAAATCATCAAATCTTGATTAATTAACTATTATTATCACCACTAATTAACCTTTAATCAACTACTATTGAAGCATTTATTCATTAAATAAAGTAAAAAAAATTGACCTGAGCAGCGGCTTGGTGTGGTCGTGGCCATACCACAGCACCAGACGCGCCGCGTCCTGCGCGTGCAGCGGCCGCGAGTCGCACGGCAGACGCGCGGTGCTCCCTGACACTACGTGTACTACCATCAACGACGACTCTGACCAGCAAATAACTTTAGATAATTATATCTAAAATGTTAAACATTGTAACCGGAATAAATAATTTAGTTAGTTAAATAACAATATTTTGTTATTTAATACGATGCCTCAAGTTGCACCGCCGATAATGAGTCTGAAATTAGTAAAGATGTCTAACCAGACAGAGTCGGTCGCATGATAAGACAGTGCCAACACAGGCGAGTTACAAGTTTATTAGTGGCACTACAAGTGACGAGTTACAATTATAGACGATGTTTGTAACCAGCAACAAGTGTAGACGATGTTTGTAACCAGCAACAAGTGTAGACGATGTTTGTAACCAGCAACAAGTGTATACGATGTTTGTAACCAGCAACAAGTGTAGACGATGTTTGTAACCAGCAACAAGTGTAGACGATGTTTGTAACCAGCAACAAGTGTAGCCGATGTTTTAGTTCTTGTGACAAACGTCAAGGCTTAATTAGCTTGTTTTCCGAGTCACGCTGGGCGACGCGAGACTAATTGCTCATTAGGCAGTTTGGTCGACTGCTTAACAAGTGACTTCTAAATGACCAGGGTATGAGAGAAATTGTTCCAGTGATGCACTTCCTATAAACAGATGACAATTACCATAGCCTTAATGCCATTGGGCAGATTATGTCTTAATTACCGCAGAAAATCAATGCAAATTCTTCACCAAAACAATTATTTGCATTTTAAGACAGTTCAGAAACTTCAACGGGAATTCATAAACAAACAAAAAATAAATTTACTACTCTATTAAACTGAACATTCAGAGAGCGAGTTGTACAGAGGCTGGGTCATTGATGAGGTCGCTATATTAATTAATTTTTTGTAGAACAATCAACGCACAGGTAAACTTCAGCAGAAAATTACATTCCATGTGATGGATAATCCCGACTTTCATTAAAGATTCCCAAAACAATTGCATCGTAGAATTGGAAAGACTTTAACTACAATCAAATGTTACATCACTCTAAATTAGTCATCACAATAATTACGTTCATTAAAAAGTTTGTGATTAAGGTTACATGAGAAGTTAAAAATTGTTCGACATTACACATTTTTAGGAAGGCGACCAAAACAAGAAACTCGCAATTAGAACAAACTTCAACAACTGCTTGTTCCTGTTGAGTGTTCGGTACACACACACAATTGCAATCAAAAACAAATTAGGAGGCAAGAACCGTCTCGTGTACGCACCAGGTTAGAGAGGGCCAGGTTATAGAGAGGGCCAGGTTATAGAGAGGGTCAGGTTATAGAGGGGACCATGTTATAGAGAGGGCCGGGTTATAGAGAGGGCCAGGTTATAGAGAGGGCCAGGATAGGGTAGGGCAAGGTTAGAGAGGGCCAGGTTAGGAAGAGGTTAACTGGCACAAACAAAAAGTTGCGACTTCGTCCGAACGCGTGAAAAAAAAGTAATCAAATAGCCGTGTTCCAATCACCAAGTCTCGAGAAGAATCAACAGGTTCTAACTTCAACTCAAAAGTGAGATAGAAAGGTGAAGTTGACATTAAGTTGCAAGCGGAATCGAAAGTTAAAACTTCCGTCGACGTCTGTGTTGAATTGAACTTTGCAAGTTGTCGTAAAGTTTCAAGCTAAAGTCTTAGCTTGTGAAAAAGAGAGACAACCATCTTTAGGTGGCTTGATTCAATAATTCATCAAAGCTTTTGAATGATATGTGGTAATTGAATTAAAATCGAAGGATGCACAGTGGATAACTGAATAACAAGCATTCTTTGATCTATAAATTGCACGACTTTGGTTACATAGGAATAGAGATCTGTACCAAATGATGGAGAAGCGGTGGCAATAGTAGAATATCTGGACGTTACAGCTCGAGATTACATACTAAACTTGTCAAACGAAATGAATAAGTTGTTTTCAAAATCAATTTTTCATTGTTGAGAAAACTTCAATTACTAATTAGAAATTCACATTTATGTATTGTAATTGATTGAATCACGTTAGTTTATGCATAGAACTCAAATGCAAAAAAATAACTTCACTTCAAATAAAAACACTAATAATTCAATGCATCATAGCTTCGCGTCGTCATAAAATTACGAACGAAAATTATGAAATCAAGAAGACAAACTATATATGCTGCTAAAAGAAAAAAATTCTTTTGAAAACACAAAGCCCATAACTAAATAATTCTTTTAGCTGAAAAAGTAAGTAAACACTTGAAAAGAATGACACATTCACTGATTCTGAATATTAGTTAAAAATATTATTATATTAGAAATAAAATTAGTCTCGTAAAAATTATTTAGAAATGAAAGTATTAAGAAGGTGTAATTGTCAAAAAATGAAGGTATTTATGGATGCAGTTACATTACATAATTTTTCAAGACCTACTAATTGGATGAAATAAATTGCTTCCACAAGGCACCTGACGTCTAAATAAAGTCGATTACACGTTGTTTCCTATTTCTTTCACATCATTTGACGGAGATCTCAAGCGACCATACCGGCTACAAGAGGTCTCAAGCGACCATACCGGCTACAAGAGGTCTCAAGCGACCATACCGGCTACAAGAGGTCTCAAGCGACCATACCGGCTACAAGAGGTCTCAAGCGACTATACCGGCTACAAGAGGTATCACAACATAGCAGGAATAGTAGCATAGAGTGCCATACCCGCATCGTATGCGTCGTCCCCGTAGCTGCGGGTGCTCACTGGACGTGCGAGGGCGCCGGGAAGAAGCAACAGCACCGCGCAGGCGACCAACAGGAACAGCCACCACCGCCGCACGCTGGCGGAGTCGTTCAAGGTCATGGGGCGACCTGACGCAATCAGTGGGGGAAAATCAGTGGGAGATGTGCACATCGCAGGGTTATGAGTGGCCAGTCAGTGGGAGATGTGCACATCGCAGGGTTATGGGTGACAGGTCAGTGGGAGAAGTTCACATCGCAGGGTTATGGGTGGCCAGTCAGTGGGAGAAGTTCACATCGCAGGGTTATGGGTGGCCAGTCAGTGGGAGATGTTCACATCGCAGGGTTATGGGTGGCCAGTCAGTGGGAGAAGTTCACATCGCAGGGTTACGAGTGGCCAGTCAGTGGGAGATGTTCACATAGCAGGGTTATGAGTGGTTATGGGTGACAGGTCAGTGGGAGATGTTCACATCGCAGGGTTATGAGTGGCCAGTCAGTGGGAGATGTTCACATCGCAGGGTTATGGGTGGCCAGTCAGTGGGTGATGTTCACGTCGCAGGGTTATGGGTGGCCAGTCAGTGGGTGATGTTCAGCCGTCACTGATTCGCCATTGATGCTAAATTGGGTGACGAAGAGTGGCTTGTTGTTCGCATCTCGTCAACTCGTGAAGAAATTCTAGCGTTTAGATAATATAATTTAGGATTTAAGAGAGATGAGAATAGAACAGCGGTCAAATCGAAATGTGTATGTATCAGTAAAGAATAATGTGCATTCATAATTCGTAATAACTGATTCTATTAATGCATCGCTCCAAGCTGCTCTTCACAATTCACGATGAATTGCCCATGGTCTGAAGTTGCACTCGCACAAATGAATAGGTCATATTGTCCAAAAGGTTACACGCTTTATTACCCAAAGCACGAGCAGAAAGACCCCTCCTCCCAAATTATTCGGGCCAAACTGTGTCATGACTTACGTAAGCGCAAAAGGTGCTTCGCTTTTTGGACAAATTCTCACTCATATCTTTGAGAGTGTGGTCTGAGGGATGGCTCGTCTGGACATGACGGGCAATAACCATAAGTCTGCTGGACTCAACTTCTCTAGAACAATAAACGGATCGCAGAAAACAATTAAAACTTTTCTGCGTATACTTGCATGATTGAAGATCATTAAAGCTCCACTTTGATGTTAATTAGAAATGCATATTCAAGGCAATGGAAACATGTTTAGAATAAATTATATGAAAATGAAAGCTTCATGAGTTTTAGATCATCAACTACACGCATCGGCATTAATTATGTTGTGTTAAATAATAATTATAGGTCAATTATTGCTAGCTTTGTAAATTAATATATTCAGGGTAGATGAACGGAGGATTAGAGTAAATGTCGTTGCTTGTTAGAGATGATCGGGAAGGCTTTACATCGATGACTAGCCATTTGAACTTCATCATAGACTGAAGATAACATTTAAAGATTTTTTTATAAATTTATACGAAAATAATTTCCTTTTGATAAGAATGAACTAATTTAAACAAAAAATATAAATGAAGTCAGAAATGTGAAATAAAAGTAATACTTTAACATATATAAATGAAGAAACCCTGGTAATACAAAAGAAAAATTAGCATGGACGCTCAAACTCTGTTCAAGTTCTTTTAAAAGATATAAAACCCTGCTGCGTACCTATCATTTGAAGTTTATCGAAAAAATAAACTAATTATCTGGTACGAATACAATCAAAAATATTATAATTATTTCCAGCCACATTTATATATTTTAACAGAAGATTACTTTCAATAACATCTCATTATACAATATTTATTCGCAGAGTTTCAATTTGAAAAATAGCATCATGGTGGTAAAGTCCGGAAAAAAAATTCCGCAATCCGTGCGTCCAGCTCGCCGCCCAAACTAAATCGCCGTGCTTCTTTGGCGGCCGTCGCCGCGCATCCTGGGGACGTTCGAGAATTTCAACGTCCAGCAAAAACTGAACGGAACTTTTGATCCAAGATTTGCGAAGTGGCGAAAAAATAACAAGTTCTGGGGCGAGTGATAGCTGCGTGTATAGGAGGAACACTCGCAGGCAGTGCGGGCCGAACACGGAGGATAAACGCTTAACACGCGGTATATACGTTCTACACACAGGATGTACGTTCTACACGCAGGATGTACGCTGAACACGCAGGATGTACGTTGAACACGCTCATCGATGAACACTTTTCTTCCTGATCGAACGCGTCGTTAAAGTTTTCAGCTCACTAAGTTCAACGTTATTCTCACCGCCTTCAATGATAATTCAACAAAATCAAGAAAATAAATCCATCAGATGACAGGAGAAGAAGCTTGAAAGTCAAATCTTCTTCGTTTTTAAATCTCAGCCTGAAATGTATTCAAATAAAATATACGAGGTAAGTGATCAATCCCGTAATCGATACCGGCATTTAGGGAATAGTTATTAAAATGTATACGAAATTCGAACCATAATTTTACTTCAAGATATATGTTCAGAATTAAGAGCATGAATACATATAATATATATAGCCAGTAATAAAATTTGAAAATCTGGAAATTCGTTATGGATGTTCGTGAGCAACTTCTAATTACTGGAGACAACATAATTAAATGTACCATCGTCCAGGAAATTTTAGCGGAGTGATTGTTACACAAGTTTACGGTGTGGTCTTGAGACCGTCCCTCTGGACGATAAAAATAAGCCATATTTCAAGGCACCTTATCTCCGCCTCGAGATAAGGTATCAGCCGCTGCGATCGTAAAGGAAGAAAAGCGCACGATTAACGTCCGGCGTCTTGATGCTCGGCTACTTCTACATAATCAAATTAGAAAAATATAAGAATAAATTGCAATATATAGAAGTAGCGGGTAGCTCTTCCAACTCTTTCTTTTAGAATACATCGCTCAAAATGATACTTTAGGAAAATATACCATAACGTAGGCCTAAAGAAATAAATGATTCTTTTGGATTCCTCAAGTTTCCTCTGTAGCAGAAAAAAGTTCTCTGCGAGCCTGAAAATAGTTTACTACGGGCTTGGAAAAGTTCATGTTGACCAGGAAAAAGTTTCCAGTTGAAGAGAAAAGTTCCCCTATAGGAGACACCTGCGATCCAGTGGCAGGGTGTGCGGTATTAGGCTTTTTAGCGCATTTTCTCAAATATGGAAAAAATGCACTATTGTGCTTGCCATGTCCGTCTGTCTGTCTGTCCGTCCGTCCGTCCGTGACCTCAAGTTTTCGTCGACGAGAAAATGCGCTCTCTGTCACTCACTGCTGTGAGTACTGAGTTATATTTTTTTATCATTAGGTCTATCAAAAGTCAGTAGGTTCATCACGAGAGTTTAAAAACAAGCGAACAAATAACAAATGTTGAAAAAATAAAATCGGATGCTGGTGAAGTATTTCTTACTTTAAAATTTAACATTGACATTGACGTTCGACTCTTTGAAATTCACGGTATTGCACTCTAATTTAAATGATTTTCAATGAAAAAAATTCAATTGTATTATCAATCATAAATCCTTTATTTACACGTTCTGAAGATTCTTGAATCAAGTGATGGAACATAATAACGAACGAGAACGTGTGTAAATCCAGTATAGCCAAATTACACGTTTTACTTATTTTGAAGCTGCACGCTAATAAGGAAAGTACACTAATTCAACTATTAATCGGCAATATTATAAGTAACGATAGTACAATAAGAAAGTAAGTACGTCAAGGAGGAATTGCAATTTATTGGAAAGGTCGCGCGTAATCTCTACACGTCTGCCATCAGCGAGCCCAAGTGAGCCCGAGACTTTTTCCCAGATTGGAAAAAGTAGCGCGGTCGCAGGTTTCGAATTTTGAGGTAGTTTAGGGTAATTTTTATTGTAATTGAGCCATCTAGGCTGAAACTTGGAAGTAGAATACGTTAAACGTGTCCGGTTTCGGAATTTTGCTCCAGCTCGAGTCAAATCTAAAAATTTATCCTTAAAGCGAATTATTAATGGAAGGAAATATTATGCATTAAATGGAAACCGCAAAGCTGTTAGACAAGCCTGCCTGATGAGATGAAAGAAAACATACCACCGTGAAAAGTGCAGTATTTAATTACTACAGCGCCACAACATTCTATTCAATAAAATTCTCGAGAGAAAATACATGTAATTTATAAAATGGTTAATAGACAGTTGAATTCTTATAATTTTGTTTCCCGATTTCTATATAGAAAAACATGGATGAAGGTGACGTTATATTAAATTTATATATATAGTGAATAATTATTAAGTAGCAAATTACATGTGAGAGGACGGCCTTTGATAAAAAACTACTCAAATATCATACATTATAATAGGACAATATTCCTTCAGCAAAAACAAACCATTATTTAACGATGGAATGTTGAATATATTTTGCTCCATAGTTTGAAACCAAATCATTACACGTAATCTTCGTACAGATGTGTGGTGTAAGCTTAACATTTTGGTATGCATTGAACCTGAACGTCCGGAAATACTTCCAGCTGCCCGAGGCTTGGGCATAAAAATTTGAACTTGATTAAGCAACGCAGCTGCGGCCAAGAGGCATGCATGAGCTGCCCTTCTGTATTCCGTTACAATCCTGCACAGAATAATGGCTGCACGGCGGCCGGCACTATATTCCGTTACAATCCTGCGCAGAATAATGGCAGCACGGCGGCCGGCACTATATTCCGTTACAATCCTGCGCAGAATAATGGCAGCACGGCGGCCTGCACTATATTCCGTTACAATCCTGCGCAGGATAATGGCAGCACGGTGGCCTGCACTATATTCCGTTACAATCCTGCGCAGAATAATGGCAGCACGGCGGCCGGCAATCTCCGTTTGCGGATGAGTGTCTGCAATATTGTAGCTAAAAATTTGAGCAGTACAAATGTGAACTAACAGCTGCAGCCTTAAAATTAATTAGATGACAAAAACTGCAACAGATTTTATCTGTAAATAAATTGCTGCTCGAAATTGAAATGAAAACTAAGACCCGCTGGGATTTTAAAGTAGCAGGATTGTTAGAAGATCCTTTGAAAATAGTGGCATTAAAGGGTATTTGGCGGCAGTGAACTTCACGTCGAGGACAAAGGAACAAAGTGTGCAGGCTGGAACATTAACGAAGTGCGCCCGTAAATTACATCACTACAGCAGCAGAATTTGTCCTACAATGAACTCTTACTTCAGCGAACGATAAGAAATATACAAATTACTTTTGTGTTATAATAGGATAAAATCAACGGGTATAGGATTCATACGATTTATGGGACCCCCGCGGCTTTAATACTGTGCATAATTATCATAGTTTGGTATACAGCAAAAAATGTTACATTTTTATATACTGCTGCATAAGGAATACTTTAATGCAGTATCATTTCGAGAGAATCATCGTTTGTATAAAGTATAACTATTATTTCGTGTGTTAATGCGCATACATGTTAGGCTAAAACTATGATTATTCTGACAAATTAATCATGGCCATGCAATAAGATAGATGATCATGGATACATTAAAAATTGCTGATATTTCTAGCTAAAAACCTGGTATTGCGTCTTACTGAGAGTAGCAACTAGTTAACCTATCGTTTTCAAGTGCAAGTAACTTCGTCAATGCTATTCGTACCTAAAGGTTCGGTGACGATGGTTATACTCGGGAAAAGCAGGTTCATGGGTCAACAGATATGCAACAGATACTGAAGGTTGCAACACTCACCCATCTTGGTTGTATAGTATGGGTCAACAGATATGCAACAGACATTTAAAGTTGCAACACTCCACCATCTTGGTTGTATAGTATGGGTCAACAGATATGCAAGATACTGAAGGTTGCATCACTCCGCCATCTTGGTCGTATAGTATGGGTCAACAGATATGCAACAGATACTGAAGGTTGCAATCATCTTGGCTGCACAGGCCTCGGGCTCGACTCGGGTCTGCTAGATGCCCCTATATAATGAAGACCGCCAAGTGTCATTAAGTAACCAAGTTATAATTCCCCGTGCCATTTAAGCGAGTCTTTATTTCAACACTTCTACCTCATGAGCTCTACCAAGTTCTCTACCGCAATTCTCAGGTAAATCCTTCTACCTTGCAGTGCACCAACTCTACTTAACTAGAGCTGACAATGTAGGGTATATCAAGTCATATTCTACTTCAAGTCGCATTAGATAATAAGTACAAGCCTATGTAACGTCAAGCACTAAACCCTCCAATCCAAGGCAATTTTTTTTTCATTGCTGGATCAGAAGTCAGAAAATTAACTTAACTTAAAAAAACATCCATCTCAGGTTATTTTTACCCTCGAATTTAAAATAACATTTGAATTAAGATTTAAATATATCCATTTTCCATTAATTCTTGTACGTACATATATTAAATATTCTGGTAAGATTTAAAGGCTCATAATCCCTGCACGTTCTTCAAGGAAACCTACTGGGGTGCAGCGTAGCGCGTAGGATTCTCTCCTCTAAGTAATATCTCTCGTCTAAGTTAATGCGCCGTAACTTCATCCTATACGCTAGAGGATCAGAGGAAATCCTTCACGCTGGATGAATCCAATTGAATCCTATTATTTCTAGAGCTCTTAATCGCCAATTAAAACAATTCACAATATCGACAGGAGTAGAATTAGTCGAAGTGGTTGAATTGGCACACGTTATTACGATAACATGATTACACGATATAACACGATTACACGATTAAGTCTAGCTTATAGATTCTAAATCATGAACAAACTTGGGCGGCAGAGTGCTCTAAAGAAACTTGCAAGACATCATTGATGCGATCATTTAATTCAAACAAACTTCTAAGTTGTTCATTTAAAAATATTACTCGAATTAATTCACAATTAAACCTCACTGATGTGAAAATGTACATTACAGTCAGGAAAAATAAAAAATTTAAATCGTTTCAACAGACATTTATCTTACTTATATTTGTACATGGAAAAGGCCTTTTAATACGTAGGCCATTTAATACGTAGGCCATTTAATACGTGTGTAGGCCATTTAATACTGACCGACGAAGCTATTAGATGCCAGAGCGTCTCGCAAACGTCGCCAGTGGGCGACATGGAGTCGCCGAAATTGTTGCGCCGTGGCAGATATTTTAACAGGAGGAAGAAGTCATCACGAATTATGACTGAAAAATCTCTAGACTGACCGTAACACGAGGCCACAACTGGGCCACAAGTTGCGAACAACTGGACGATACCTGGACCACCATATGTTCCACAACTGGTCCACAATTGGACCACACCTAGCCCACACTGGACCTATAAGGGAAACACAACTGGACCACAAGTGACGCACAACTGGACCACAAGCTTTGAACAACTTGACGATACCTGGACCACAACTGGACCACCATGTGTTACACAACTTGGCCCACAAGTGACGCACAACACATCAGAACTGGACAATATCTGGACCACATATTACCCTTACCGTGACTAAATACCCAGCCATTGGCTGCAGCGGTGAACCTAAATTAGGATCAAAACACGCATGTGATGGTGATTTGAACCCATGTACTATACACGTAAGGAAGATTTGAGCCGGAATATTGGACCTTAGTTCACATGAGAGGGCAACTTGAACCGGAATGTGGACTCATTTCTGAACCAACAGAAATGTATAAGCCACTCGTTTTTATCGAGCTTGCATGCAAATATTCCTAAATTATACGACTCGAGGACCAAAATGCAACTGAATAATTCCAATAAATGTAGCTTGCTCAAGTTAATTTGTGAAATTTTATACAAGATACGAGCTCAGAAAGTATTACAAGAACAAAAAACACAAGCAAGAGCGTTGACATGCATTCATGGCAAATCCATGATTCGTCAAACCCAGTAACTTAGAAAACCATGGACCTGGAAACTTCCACATCCTCATGCCACGCGCCCCTGAAAATCTCACTTCAGATCTTAGGCGTGTGATGGTCGGCCAGACATGAATCGCCTACACTGTCCTGAACAGAGCAAAAACTTGCCCTTCAAAGTTAGCGCGACTTCGGCCGAGTTACAAGCCACGGACTGGAAATTATTTTATCATTCATTCCATGGGACGGAAACCACGGCCCTGATGAACGAGCAGGCACGGGAGTTATCGAGGGGCGCCGCCCCCCTTGACAGGCCATGCATGCAGTTGAACAACAGCACAACGGGGGGCGAAAATCCCTTAACAAACGCGCAGTCTGCCGAGAGGAAACAACTTGACTGAAAAACTGGTGCATTAATAGAGCACCAGTAATGCAGCAGCGGTGCACCAGTAATGCAGCAGCGGTGCACCAGTAATGCAGCAGCTGTGCACCAGTAATGCAGCAGCGGTGCACCAGTAATGCAGCAGCAGCGCACCAGTAATGCAGCAGCGGTGCACCAGTAATGCAGCAGCGGTGCACCAGTAATGCAGCAGCGGTGCACCAGTAATGCAGCAGCGGTGCACCAGTAATGCNACTGTGTTAACACCACCATCATCGTAGACTGTGTTAACACCACCATCATCGTAGACTGTGTTAACACCACCGTCATCGTACACTGTGTTAACACCACCATCATCGTAGACTGTGTTAACACTACCATCATCGTAGACTGTGTTAACACTACAGTCATCGCAGACTGTTAACACCACCATCATCGTAGACTGTGTTAACACAACCATCATCGTAGACTGTGTTAACACCACCATCATTGTAGACTGTGTTAACACCACCGTCATCGTAGACTGTGTTAACACCACATCACCGTAGAAAATTATGTCCATTGAAAAATACCAGACTTTACTATGGAACAAAATGTTAGTTAAATCAGCGTGCAAATCTTGCTATTTCACAAAGAGATAAGATGCGTCATCGCTGTGTAACTTTTCCATCACTAATTTTGTTCCTCCAAACTTTTCTGAAATGGCGATGCATTTTCTGAAATAGCGATGCACAGCGTCGGAAATGGTTAGATTGCAGCGCTCGATGAACTGCCCATTTTTCTTTCTTGGACATAAGGATAAAATGTCCATGTTTCTTCATGGGGCTGGCAGGTATGAGGTACACTCACACAAATGAGCGAGACTTCGTCGGAATAGCGAAGCACTTTTCGCCCTCTAATGGATCATTATGACCTTACCAAATTAATTAATGGGCGTTACTGAGAGCTTTGTAAGCTCTGTAAATATATACTCGTGCTATGGGCAAGAAAGGAGGGTCACTATTTATTTGGACAATGTGACCCATTTAATTTTCAGGGCGCAGACACACGGTTCCTATGCAGGCTCGGCATCAGATTAGCTTCCCCTCATCGTTCCTCGTTACCGACGACGCGATTGTTCAGGCGGCGCCCCATTAACCGACGTGGCTGCAACTGCCGTGCCTGCAGCTGCGGCCCTCAGCCCTTTTGAGGAGCATGGGCCCTGGGGCACAATGTAGAAGCATGGGACCTGGGGCACAATGTAGAAGCATGGGCCCTGGGGCACAATGTAGAAGCATGGGCCCTGGGGCACTATTTAGAAGCATGGGCCCTGAAGCACAATGAAGAAGCATGGGACCTGGGGCACAATGTAGAAGCATGGGCCCTGGGGCACAATGTAGAAGCATGGGACCTGGGGCACAATGTAGAAGCATGGGACCTGGGGCACAATGTAGAAGCATGGGCCCTGGGGCACAATGTAGAAGCATGGGACCTGGGGCACAATGAAGAAGCATGGGACCTGGGGCACAATGTAGAAGCATGGGACCTGGGGCACAATGTAGAAGCATGGGACCTGGGGCACAATGTAGAAGCATGGGACCTGGGGCACAATGTAGAAGCATGGGCCCTGGGGCACAATGTAGAAGCATGGGACCTGGGGCACAATGTAGAAGCATGGGACCTGGGGCACAATGTAGAAGCATGGGACCTGGGGCACAATGTAGAAGTATGGGCCCTGCGGCACAATGTAGAAGCATGGGACCTGGGGCACAATGTAGAAGTATGGGCCCTGGGGCACAATGTAGAGGTATGGGCCCTGGGGCACAATGTAGAAGCATGGGCCCGGACACAATTATCCGAAAGATAATGGTATCTCTTATGGCTCCTCATCCGGAGCCATACTCGCTCTCTACCAGGCAAATGTAACTAATGTTTAAATGCAAATGTAACCAATGTCAAAATGCAGAAATATATCTAATGAGTTAATGTATTTGCGATAATTTCGACTCGAAATAATATGTTAGATACCGTATAAATAATAAATCTACAGAGACTTGCGTATGCGCTGAAACAGACCCACGTTCCAAGAAAGTACATTGCCGTCACCAGAATCTCATTTTAAACCTCGTAAGTGGCATTAGAAAAGATCTTTGCAAAAACGGTTTCCCCACTAGATTTAAAAATATAATTTATTCAAAATCTTTTATTATATATCAAAATTTGTGGGTTGTAAGCCATGAACAGCAATATATAGAGGCTGCTAGCTGGGGCGCGCATGCAGGTTAGTTAATTGATTGTGTCGGGATATTCTCAGGACCTGAAGAGTTATGCTTGGTGGGAGAATAGCAAGGCGTTGTAAAACTGGGAGGATAGGAAGGATTGGCTTAAATAATGAAATTTGATTTTTTAATTCGTATGTATAAATTTAGTTTAATTTTAATATTCAGTAAATAATAACAAAAAATATTAGTATGTACAAGGGGAGTTCTATGTTCTATACGTAAAATGTCAGTTTCGTTTGATCATCATTAAATAGGGTTGACTGGACATGGTAAGACAAATAACACACAATACACAAAAGGCGAAACAAAATTCTCTGTTCTGCTGAACAAATTTTCTGCTTAGCGGAACAGAAAAAAAAACAAAGCGCAGTATCCACGACGCTACGCGGGCATCAAACAAAAAGTTTCTGGAAATTTTTTCCTGATTGGCGACATGTTTAGCGACTTTTAAATTTTCCTAGTGATTAACATTTTTTCTCATTACCAAACTAGTGTCCTCGATACCACACATTAATATGTGCACCGCCGAAAAGCGTGCGTAAGCCTACCAAATATTGTAGAATTTTCATCAAATTCTCACGCCGTTCACTCCATCCTAACTCTGGCCATGCTCTCGGTAGCACACATAAAACTCAATGAATACATTAAGTGCCGCTGGGCTGGCCTATGGCGCCTATGATGCAAAATTGCAGCCTCTAAAGTAACACGCTCGGACACCGCTGCAGCTTCCACTAAATTTCCTATTACGGAATAAAAAAACTGCTAACAAAATTAAATTAATAATGTGAAGTATAGCTACGAGTTGCGGCCATGAACAGAATGTGCAGTTGTAGTGACTACCGTGCGTAGTTGAAGCGACTTTTGTGAGGTTCGTAGGCGCAAAAAACAGCAAACGCAATTGTTCAAGTGGATCAATATTGTTGTGATGGGAACGTCGATGGTACGTTATCTTCCGGCCAGAGATGATAAATTTCTGATCAAGCGATGAATGGATGAAGAAAACTGCAAACTTTACAAGCTTTACTTTGCACTTGCTCGGGAAGTTTGCACCACGCATGAAAAACGTGCCAAGCTCAATGAATGACAAACTTTGCAACAAAAAACTTTTCCAATGCATCCCAAACGTCTGCCTGAATAAAAAGGCGACTCGTTTTACACAATTTCATACATTTTTATTCGGCACCAGAAAATCCATAAATCATCAATAAGGCGCTCCGTTCATTATTTCCCCGTAAGCACTGAACTAATCGCATTAAGTCGTATCCTCGACAGGGGTCCTGCAGTGAAAGTTCTTATGGACGAGTCAGTTAGGGACCCTTCACCATTTATACTCAAAACTTCAAGCATTTCAGAGCTGCTAACATATGCACCCACAGTACAACTACAGCATGTCATCTGCATTTAGTGGACAGCGCAAGCATCATCAGCATTTAGTGCGCAGCGCAAGCATCATCAGCATTTAGTGCGCAGCGCAAGCATCATCAGAAAAAGGCTTCCTGAAAAAGAAAAAGGCATTTTCAGATTTTCTTTTCAGAAAAGGCATTTTCAGCATTTAGTGGACTAAGCATTCATTATCATTCAGTTATGATATATCCAAGCTTAGTCTTATCATTAATAATACATAAAATAACAGTTCTATTGTCACAACAATATTTCAGTGAAAATGATCATATTGCTTTCAATAAATGACACTGAAAGATGACTTTTTGAATAGGTTTAGTTTAAACACCTTTGCAAATCGTGATCTGCAAATATTTAATACTAATGATGACTTCGGTAGCATATATAAGAGTTAGTGATACTAGAAACGACAATCAAAACTTCAACACATAAGCAAGACGAAACAAAATTCTCTGTTCTACTGAACACTCTGTTCAAAGTACTTATATCATTAGTCTGCTTATATCGCAAGTTCACAAGGAATTTAAAAGCAAAGAAAACGCCAAGAAAATTCACCATATCGATATTGAAAACGTTTCGGAGTCCAGCTCCATCATCAGTTCGACTAAACTAAAAATGAATAAAATCACTTTAAAAGTCAAAATTCAAAGACAGACATAAAACCTAAACAA